TTTTTTTTTTTTTTTTTTTTTTTATCATTTAGTTTTCATTTTCGGCACTTTCGAAATACGTGGTTGCAGGTAACAAAAGATCCGCTTCCGGTACCGATTAGACAGCGATAAAGCTGAGAAGGTACAGAAAGAAACCAGTTTTTAAGGAATGTCATTAAAGAAAATTTTAACGGTGGCCCACCAACACGACATCAAAAATAATTTATGTTGTTCAAATATAAACTTTATTGAAATGTATATCTTTTACAATCTGCGTTCCAAATAATTTAAAGTTTTTGGGGAAACGCGGTTAATTTCTTTCCGTTTTCTTATAACAATTTTCAACCGACGCGACGAATATTATATTCATTTAACGAAAACGTTGATACGAGTCGAGGTCTTTATAACAGTTGTTGCAAATCAATATTTAACATACAACCGACACGCAAGGCCTTTTCAAGATAAAAAAAGGTGTAAAACGATAAAATGAAAACCCTGTGATTAAAAACAGTGGATACTAACTAATTATCTATGTTATTCATTTTGATACAATTTGAATTTCAAATGTTGATTAATAAAAAAGATTTAATTATTTATCGAACTTTGATTCTCGATAAAATTCTACATGTGTATCGTATCTGGAAATGTTGACATGAATTGCTTCATAATGTACCCTTTAATATGCACACGAGTAAACAATGATTGCGTAAACTATTGACAAGTAGGAAAAATGTTGTCTCTAATCGTATAACCTCGTAGTAGAAAATTTATTGATCGAATATAAAATAACTCCAGGTGAACTCGGTGTGAAATTTCCCTTATATTCATAATTTTTTCTTCCATTCGATTTGATTTTTTTTTTTTTCCTATCAATAGTATTATTTGTCCTTAATGAAAAATTTATTTTTTTGAATTATCTTTACAGGTAACAAAAAAAAATAATGAATGTTTTATCTTTATTTACAAAATTCGCATGGCGAAAAGTGGAATTTATTGTTACCTTGGTCGTTATCATGTTATTATCTATCTATAAACGTGTAAAAAGGAATTCACGAAAAAAAATTAAATATCCTTGTAATACGTTTCGTCTAATCGATTCGGCCATTAAGATTAAGAGGACATATTATTGATCACCTCCAAACTCGATAAATACTATTTGCACGAGGAGACAATCAATTTTAAGTTTGGCCTTTAAATAATCACAGAGAAAATTAATATTTAATTTCCCATTGATAAGCTTAATACATCGAAATAAGGACGCGTCCTTCGTTAAATGCATTTTTTTCCCTCGATAACGTTTATTAGATTCAATACGATTGCAAAATGTAGAAAAAAAAAAAATAAAAATAAAATAAAGATAATTCAGGAATAACGTGAAAATACCCGCATCCTTATATCGTTTGATATCATAACACGGTTAACAGAATAAATAATCTTATTCCTATCTATTAAATTAATTTTAAAGAAGCATTGTTCAATTACATTAATGAAAACACTAATATTTCAAACACTCTTATCATCAAACTTTTTTACCATAATAAAAATCATTATGGAATCACGTTTTAAGAAACACCGAGTCCTTATCAGTCCTTTCAGAAAATTAAATATATATATACGAAGAACGGAAGATGGTCTAATCGATTAGAAAGATTAATACAATTTCGGTTGTGATAAATGCGTAAGACGATCCTTGAAAAAAGTATGGTAAATTGGAAAATACGGGCGATCGTGACAGGGTTGACGATTGAATTTCCAAATGCATGATGAGGGAAATACCGTTGGCCATCCTTCGACGAAGGCTTTCGACAATGATCCTTGATCAGATAAGTATATTCCCAATATTCCCTCTGATCGTTCCACGAACGCGCAATGCATGCCCTTTAATAAGAAGAAAAAAGAGGGGGAGGGGAAAAAGAAGGAAAGAAAGGGAAAAACGGAAACGAGAAATCACCGAACAATACCCGGAGCAGATAACAGCACGAAGCGCTTGACGAACACGTAGGTGGGGAATACGAGACACACGATGTGGAATAAATAGTGGCCTGAAATCGAGCGGAATTCAGTCGTGCTGCTGTTGTAACATCGTCGTTGACGTTGTTTATTCACGAAGACCACTGGCGAGTGGATCTCGTGAAAATCGTTTAATCTTATCTGGCGGTATAGGATAAATCGATAAGTAAGCAGGGTGATTCGCACGCACGCCGAGATATTACGCTTCCTCGAACACGCAATAACGCGATCATCGGTGCGACGTCTCGGCCTCTCGTGATCACGGAAGAGATGATAATTGGAGTGTTGCTAATGCTAGCCCCTGTACTTCGGATAAACGCGTTATTACTCGGGTACATACATACAACACATACTTAATCGTTGAGATGCCTTGCGAACAATCAAATTCGTCCGTTCCCTTTGTATTTAATTTAAAGAAGAAACGTAAAAAACGTTTGAATAAAGAATAAATTGGAGACACGTGTCTTCAAAGAGGCAGGATTGGCATAGGCACGTTTCCCTTTTCTTTAAACGGAGAGAGAGAGAGAGGGAGGGAGAGAGGGAGGGAGAAAAAAAAATAATAGAAAGCAAAAAAAGTAAAAAAAAAAAAAGAGAACGCGAATGTTGGCAAGCGCATCCCTGCAACTCCTGAAATACTCGTAAAGCGTTCAAGTTCAGGTCTGAAAATATCTTATCTAATTCGTGTCATTGGCCTCGACTCTCTCGAGTTTCGCTAACACCTCGTTTCTCTTCTGTCAGCTTCGTACCGGGCACCCCCAACGACAACAACAAAACCGAACGGGAGTTCAACGTTTACTGGAACGTGCCCACCTTTATGTGCCATAAATACGGGCTACGCTTCGAAGAAGTATCGGAGAAATATGGTATCCTACAGAACTGGATGGATAAGTTTCGGGGCGAAAAGATCGCGATCCTTTACGACCCTGGAATGTTCCCGGCGTTGCTGAAAGACCCGAACGGTAAACAATAATATATACAAACACACCCACACCCACACACTCACACTCACACACTCACACACACACACATGAGCGTATCAGATTACGAAAAAAATCACAGGGAGGAGGAGGAGGAGGAGGAGAGGAAAGGAAACTGACGAAAAATTTGAAACGTTGTCCAGGGAACGTGGTGGCGAGGAACGGCGGTGTCCCGCAACTGGGCAATCTCACCAAGCATCTCCAAGTATTTCGGGACCACTTGATCAATCAGATCCCGGACAAATGGTTTCCCGGCGTGGGGGTGATCGATTTCGAAAGTTGGAGGCCGATATTCAGACAGAATTGGGCCTCCCTCCAGCCTTATAAGGATCTATCCGTAGACATAGTTCGCCGCGAGCATCCGTTCTGGGACGATCAGAGGGTGGAGCAGGAAGCGAAACGAAGATTCGAGAAATACGGGAAACTTTTTATGGAGGAGACGTTGAAAGCCGCGAAACGGATGAGGCCGTCCGCCAATTGGGGATACTACGCTTACCCTTATTGCTACAATCTGACACCGAAACAACCGAACGCCCAATGCGACCCAACCACCGTGCAGGAAAACGATAAGTACGTAACGAAAAGGAGGAAACTTTTTCCAACTATTATATCCCGATCGCTCGACACCGAAATTCCATACCCGATAAATGAAATTCTCGATCGAGAATTGGACACTCGATTTCGAAAACTTTGCTTCTTTTTTTTCTTTTCTTTTAAAGAAAGATTTATTAAGATTATAACGAGATTACGAATTCTCGGCCGTGAGCGCGTGTACAATGGTCGTGGTTAAGTGGGTCAGTGTCAAGAGTCGTGTTCGTGGTGAAAAATTTTAAACCGTCCCAAAGGGAGTTACAACGGTGTTATCTAATCGGCCCCAGATAAGCCAACCAGAAATCGTTTGCTTCCCCCATTCAGAATGTCATGGCTGTTCGAGTCGGAAGACGTCCTCCTTCCGTCCGTTTACTTGAGATGGAATCTGACGAGCGGCGAAAGAGTCGGCCTGGTCGGTGGCCGCGTGAAGGAGGCGTTGAGAATAGCGAGGCAAATGACGACGAGCGGAAAGAAGAAGGTTCTACCCTATTACTGGTACAAATATCAGGATCGAAGGGAAACGGATTTGAGCAGGGTGAGCGATTTCTCCAAATTTCGTAGAGAAATTTTTTTTAATCGGAAACTTTGAGCGTAACGAGGCGAGCGATTAAAATTCCCCTCGAAAATGAATTTTTTAACCTCCGCAGGCCGACCTCGAGGCAACTTTACGAAAATTAACGGACCTCGGCGCCGATGGGTTTATCATTTGGGGAAGTTCCGACGATATAAACACGAAAGCGAAATGCCTGCAATTCAGGGAATACCTGAACAACGATTTGGGCCCCGTCGTTAAACGAATCGGTCAACTCGCGTTGAACGACAACGCCCCTTCCGTGAGAAGTCGACTCGACGTGAGCGTCGACCAAGTGTGACCAAGCGTGTGTAGCGTCTGGACCGAGCTGGAGCCGGAGCTGGAGCTGGTTCTGCTTCTGAATCGCCGAGCGGATCCAGAGAGAGAAATTGCGCGAATCGTTCTTCGGTTTCTGAATGCTTGTTACGCGACGTACACGCGCGAGGAGGAACTGCGGCCCGACCTTCGAAATGGAAAGATGCTGGAGACGACGCGTGTCGTTGAAACCAAAGACGATTGGTCTAGTCGATACAGTTGGGAGTCGCGATAGTTGCGCGATTCAACGTAGCATCGAGCAACGATCGAAGGGAGGGGAAAGAGAAATATTTATCGTAAATAAATTTGCTGTATCGATTCGATCTTTCCGTTCCATGCGATGATGATGATGATGATGATGATCGTCGTCGTCGTATCTCTCGCCTATCCACCTACTCCCTCCTCGAATTCATCGCACTCGCCTCGACGAGTGGATGATGTTCTCGTGGTGATATTACGAGAGATTGAGAGACGAGAGAGAGAGACGAGAATATATATCGTACGGTCGGTGTCGGGAGGAGCGAGGTAAGAGTATCGAGGAGGAATGGAGCGCACTTGGACACTAGCGTACAAGTTTTACTGGTTCGAGGTGTAAGGCCTCGGGCGATCTCGCTTTTTACAGTACGCGCGACGTCGTCGTTGTAGAGAGGTAGTCAAAGATCTCTCTTGCTTACCGTTGATTCCTCCCCTCTCCATCACGGTTCGGTGAGTGATCCTTTCTCTTTCTGTTTCCACGAGAATACCTGGAGGAACTGGGGGAACGAGAGAGAGAGAGAACGGAACGGGAACGGCGCGGAACCAAACGTACCGAGTAGAAGGAGGAGCTGAAGGAGACTCCGGTGGTGGTGGAGGTGGAGCGAGAGGAGGAGGAGAACGGAACACGAGAGATCGGCAGCACAGTTTCGTGTTCAGCTCAGCTCGGTTCGGCTCAACCTCGTATCGGATCCCCCGTGTTTTTCTAAGGCGAATCGTTGGTCAAATTTCTCTGTCTATCGGATCCCTCCCCCCGTCCCCCTCTCTCTTTCTCGCCTCCGCCCTGCTCGTTTTCGCCGGCCGGCCGAGAAGGGGAGGGTTCCGAGGACCGAGTGAAAAATCGCGCGGAGACGCGCGGAGATCGTCCATTTATCCGCGAATCGGCCTACCGTTTGCCTACCGATTTGCCTTCTTAACGCGCGGCAAATATCCAGAGTGGTGCTTAGTTCGCAACGTACACGGAGGTGAGTGACAGTTTGTTCGGAAAAGCGAAGGCTGGCCGCCGCGCTGCTTAGCCCGCGGCTCGAGATCAGTCGCCAGACAGTTACTGCGCGATGTGCGCGCTGTACGAGAAGAGAGAACGCGCGGAAGAGAATATTATTCCACGATTATTGACGCGAGATCGATGCAACGACGAGAGGTGGAGAGCGACCAAGTGTCCGGTAACGAACGAATCCCCACGATCCGACGACGCGTCGATCTCTTCGTTATCGTCCGTCATATCATGGAGAGGTCATCGAGAGATAGTGGATGGATGGATCGAACGATGGACGTGGAACGGAACGTGGATAATAGGCTCGCGTCGCGGGATCAGCTTTTCCGGTGGTCCGGTGGCCGAGGTGGAGCCGTGGAGAGAAGTTGCTACGATCACCGACCGTCGAGAAGTGGCCGAGGGGACAGGGACTCGGGCAGTTAAATAGTCGAGAAACACCCTATCCGAAACGTTTCGCCCACTAATCCTAATACCAGACCCTATTCTCGAGTTAATGATAGCTCTTCTTAGACGCAACGCTTAACTTTCGAGCTAAACTGTTGCGCGGTAGCCAACACTCGCCATCGGATCCTTCCCTAATGAAGACCTTTTGCGACTTGCCTCGACTCGCCACCATTAGACCGATTTCGCCCAAAAATATCTTCCTCGCCCGCGAAACGTTCTCGCGAGATGATAACGATTCGACCCGCGAACCGATCAACCGAGTTTTGTTGATACTCGGGGGGGACTGGAAACGTTCGTACGAAAATTGGGGATGAAGTGGAATTGGGGAGAGTGGAAAGAAAACTGTATTTGTAATCCCGCGAACAAATCGCACGCCGATCGACGAAGATCGAATCCATTACATCGAAAGGCGTTTACGATTACGACTCGTAAATCGCCGTAGTATCATTAATCAGCCTCTCATTCTCCCGGGAATGGTCCACGGTTAATTGCATCTTACGATTCTTTACGATTCTTTACGACGCTTTACGATTCTTTATTTTTTAAAAGCTACGAGAGGTAAGGCAGAGATTGGACCGCTCGCCAACGCGGCCCCGTGTAATTCGCGCCTTTCGAGTAATTGGAGTGGAGAAAATGTGGCCGGTATCCTTTTAACATCGATATCCCCTCAAACTGTTTCGTCAAGCCGCGCGCGGTTATCTTGCACAAAAAGAATCCACCGGTTGACCGTGACGATCACGCGCGCGCGATATCTCTTTTCCCGTTCTTTTTTAAAAATATATTCGTCGACGAATGCTGGACGACGCTCGTCTCGCAACGTGTAGCTGAGAAAAATCGAAGGTTTTCGGAGGGAGGGGCAAAAGTCCGTGGATACTCGATACTCGATAGTCACGAGGCGAGGATCGCAAAAGCGACGAAAGTAACCGTGTGTCATCTCGCGTGCAACGGATTATTATTATCCATTATCGCGATGAGATCGTTAAAGGAGAAAAGGAAGATTTAGGAAAATTTTCGAGATCGAGATGCTTTTGATCTCTCTCTCTCTCTCTCTCTCTCTCTCTCTCTCTCTCTCTCTCTCTCTCTCTCTCTCTCTCTCTCTCNCTCTCTCTCTCTCTCTCTCTCTCTCTCTCTCTCTCTCTCTCTCTCTCTCCCGATTCGTATCCGTATCCGTTTTTTCGAGGATAGAATCGGTGAAAGGTGGGAAATTGAAACGGAAACGAAACGGAGAGAGAGGTGTGTGGATCGGTACTTTTTCCATCTGGTGGATCGGAAAACGGGAAAGAAATAGGAAGAGAGAACGAAAGAGCTAGTAGCGGGCAGGCTCGAGGAAGACGAAAGGGCCCGTTTTAAAGAGGCGAGCATTAAAAACAACAATGTCATTACATTTTAACGACCTGTTCTTGGGCTCTGCCCTCCCTTTTAAGAACGTTCGTTTGCAGGTATGTGGTCCGCGCTCTCGTGGGGGCTACCACACCGAGACAGAATTCTTAAGGCGGTACGCACACCAGCACTTTCCTCTTTTTGCTCTCCCCTCTCCTCGGCTCAGCGGTCGCGTTTACATCTGCGTGATTCTCTCTTTACGACTCGGCGAGAGAGGGAGGGAGGGAGGGAGGGAGGGAGGGAGGGAGGAAGGAGGAAGAAAAAAAAAAAAAAGAAAGAAGAAAAGGAAAAGGAAGAAAAGAAAAGAAGCTTCGACTCGATCGTTTCGCGCAGCTCGTGCTCGCTCAACTACCACGGAGGTGTTAAGAAATCTCACCGAGTCGGCCGTGTCGTATTTCGAGCGGTCTCTACGACTCTCGTTCGGTTTAATCGGCACGTCTAAAGTTAAACTCGAACTCGGGCGGGCAAACGGTTGGCAACGCTCGATCGAGAGTTGGAAAGCGAGGAACCGCGACGGGCGTGTGTCGAAATTTCGGCGAGCTTAAAATTGCGATCTAATCGAAGGTACGAAGAGGGTGCGAAAGCAGCTTAATCCGACACTGGTCGATGCACAGGGGCCCCCCTTCCACCTCGATTCTCGGGGCCCGTTCCCCCTCTCTCGCCGATTTCTCCCCACGCACTCCGGGCACGCCGTGCAGCTCGCGAAGAATTAGTATGGGCGAGGTAACAAAAGCACGAGGAACAAGCATCGGGGGGTGTGCGCGGCGAGTGGCGGAGAAGGAGGAAGAAAAAAAAGGAGCCGAGATGGCGCCACACGTCCAGCGTGTTTTCGGGGCTTCCTCCGGTGCTGTTGGCAAACTTATTTCTTTTCTTTTTCTTCCGACCCTCCTCCATCCTTTCTCTCGCTCCATCTCGCCCGCCTTCCTCTCGCCCCCTCTCGCTTTTGGCGCGTTCTGCCCTCCCCCCTCCCCCTTTTTTATTTCCCTCCCCTTCCGAACCCTCATCCTGCCGGCCCTCCCTATTAGTTCTCGGCCACGGCACCGTATCGCGAGGGGAAAAAAAGAGGAGAAAAAGGACGGTCGCAAAATGCGAAATTGGGGCTAGACCGAATCGGCAGATAGACAGGGATTTCTCGTTAAAAATGGAAGAAGCGCGTATCGCGAAAATTATACGCCGATCCATCGCGTATTCGATCTTTCGATCGACCTTGGCCGATGCAAGATTTCACGATAGAAGAAAACGTACGATCGTGCGAGGGGGAGGGGGGAGGGGGACGTCTGCGCGTGCGTATCTATCCACTCTTCGCTCTCCGCGCGAACGGGAGAGAAATAGAGAATAGAGAATAGAAAAGAAATAAGAAACGCCGACTCGAGCGATACCGAGCGAGTCATTCTTCCACTTATGGGTATGGCTCGAGACGAAGGCACGTTGGCGAAGGCGATCGTTGCGAGGAGTACGAGTAGTAGTAGTAGCAGCTCTAGTCCTTTGATACCAAGTCCGTTTCTCCGACCTTCCTCTATACCTCTATTCCTCGACGTTACCATTGGTCGAACGACTCGAACCATTTTACTCCTAGCGTTCCTCTTTCTCTCTTTCCCTTCCTCTGCTTACTCTCTTTCCCTCGCCTCGGTCTAAGTACCAACGCGGTGGCACATCGGCAAAGAGATCATGAAAATATCTCGCGTGCCTCGGCCATCAGGGCCGTACGAACTTTGGTTCGATCGCGCTCTCTTCTTCTCTCTCTCTCTCTCTCTCTCTCTCTCTCTCGTCGCATTTTCAAATTTTCACAATTTTCGACGGGCTTCGAGCAACGAAATCTCACGGATTATTTAATAACGATCGGCACACATACGTGTGTGTGCGTGTGTACATATATTCTCGATTGGACAAGTCGAAGCGTTCGCTTCGGTTCGTTTGCCGAACCATAATTCTTCTTCTCTCCGGCCGGAGGAGAGAAAGTCCGAATATGAAATATGAATTCCTATTAGAAGCTTCCTGGAAACGCGGCACGTCACGTCCGCGGGCCGGCTCGTTCTCGTAGGTGTTAAGCTCGGGTCGAACTCGGGTTTTTAATCCCCGTGCTTTTTAAAAGGTCCCGCGGGAAGAGGCGAGCGGATATCGTGGCGTGCACACACGGCTGATCCCGTGGCTCTCTTTGTGGCCGGCCGCCTAGGCTTGGGGGCGCGTCAAATTTGGTTGAAAATCAAATTAATCTCGCGGCTGGGCGCAGGACCCTCTCCCGTCTCTTTCCGCCTCCGCTCCTCGGCCTCGCTCCGTCTCGCCTACGGCCACCGCCAGCCTGTCTTCGTCCCTCGCCCCTCGACGACACGAGCAAATCGAAGGAACGGGACTGGGAGGAAGGTGGAGAAGGAGGTGGAGCGGAGGTCCTCCATGCCACCGACACGGACCTAGAGGCGAGAAGAGAAGGTGGCGCAGCAACAAAGAGCTTTCGACTTCTGGCTGCGACCCGGCCAGGGCCGTATTTATCTCGATCCTTCTCTTTCCACCGTCTCTTTCCACGCGCTCTCCCCCTTCCCCTCTCCCCAATTATTCCTCCATTTACATCTGCAAGTCTCGTTAAATCGCGTTTGCGAGACAGTTGTGGAAGAGTTACGGATCGCGAAGAAAAATGATGATGGATCGGGGGAAAAGAAGTAAACGAAGATCGAATTCGAACGTTGATGTGTTCGGCGTGTTATAGGAGGTGGATCGTGGAGAAAGATCGTCGAGTTTGAGATGAAAGGAGGGGAGGGGCGCAGGTGATCGCGCGCGATCTGTAAATCTTTAAACGTTCGGATTAAGCGTCCGTCCCTGTCGTATCCTACTCGGTCATTCAAATCTCCGCTCGTGGAAATGAGATGGGCGGCCGGACGCCTTGTAGTCGAACGCCTACCCTCCTCGCCATGTACAGGGTGATTCAACAAGAATCCGAGCCGAGAGCTCTAATTTTCGCACGCCTATCATATCTTTAAGCTAATTTGAACTCGATGGTGTCATCGGTTGCTGCGTCCTTCGAGACCTTTCTTCTCTTTCCTTTTTTCTTTTTTTCTTTTTCCCTCTTCTCCTCCCTCCCCCCCCCCCGTGCCAACCTTGACAAATTAAACTTGGAATAATCGTTGCTTAAATCCACGTTGCTTCTTGGAAGTGGAATTGTAAAGAGATGGAAAGAAGAAAGGGAGGGGGAAGGGGGGGCGAGAATAAAGAAGCGATGGAAAGAAGAGAGAGAGAGAGAGAGAGAGAGATTGGTCGGGTCGGAGAAAGAGGACGAAGAAATGGATAAAGAGGAAACCGAGGGTAGAATAAGAAAAGGTCGGTGTGGGATCGAGATTGAAATGCATCGGTGGGGAACGAAAAGTTGATCTCCTCCTGGAAATACCGGCGACCAATTGTTGGTGGAGGGAGACGAGAATTCTTTCCGTTGTCAGGAATTCAACTCGCGAGTCCAACGACAAAGTAAATTCCTGAAGGGCCGGGAGGGATGCACGGAGGTTGGCCCTATGCCCCACGATCCGAAATGGATCCGAGATTTTTCGAGAGGCAAAAAAGGGGCCGAACTCTGGTAATTGGGCCTGCACATCCTTTTACCTCGTCGTTCGTACCACTTGTTCCCGTGTGCTCATCTCGAGAGAGATCAAGAAAGATCGTACGATGAGATTGACGCTTTTTTTCCCCCCCCATCGCCATCGATTCCACCGCCTTTATATATACACACACACGCGCGCGCACACACGCGTACACACGCATACCGTAATTCTTCTTCGTCCCTTTTATCGCGGAATTATTGCTTCATTACCGATCGCCTGGCGGTAAAATAAAACGTGCAAGCTTCACTTTAGCAGCTTACCGTTCGAGTAATCGAACGCTCCTTCGTCCCATCGATTTATTTCTCCTCGATCTCCTCGTCTTCGATTCCACGCGACTCGTGAAAATTGAGATTCGAATCGAAGCTTCGCTCGTCCAACCCCACCATCGTCACCACCGCTTTGCCTCGGCTTTCTCGATCTGACCTTAAAAGAAAGAAAAAAAATGTCGCATACCGCCCCGAACAAATGCATCCCGTATTCAAACCTCGTAGCCTAAATCCACCGGTATTTATGGTCGGGACATCATCACGAGAAAGTCTCGTTTTTCCCCCACGATGTTTGATCCCGCCAGGCCACATGGAATCCCGTTATCTTAAAATCTCGGCGACTTAAAACTCGAGCATCCCGCTCTTCCCCTCCGAATCGGGGAATCAGCCTTAACGATTTATGAATGAACTCGATCTCGTTGTCGTAGCTTCCTTCCTTCCCTCTCTCTCTCTCTCTCTCTCTCTCTCTCTCTCTCTCTCTTTCCATTATATATAAAACCCTTCTGTTTTCCTCGAAGGAGGGAGAAAAAAAAAAAAAAGAGAAAAAGAAAAATATCCATGGTCACGAGTTTTACGAGAGGATCCCTATATAATAACGACGCATCAGCGCCGCGCGTTTTAAACAAAATTCACGCGAGGAACGAACAAATTCACGCGAGGAGAAAAAAAAAAAAGGAAGCAAGGGGCACGAAGAAGCGGCACCACGACAAATCCCGGTGACGTAATTTCAGACGGTCGTCGAACCTGAGACCTCGGCTGAGCCTCGCCACGAGAGAGAGAGAGAGAGAGAGAGAGAGAGAGAGAGAGAGAGAGAGAGAGAGAGAGCGAGAGGCAGAGCGAGGGACTTTCATTCATTCGGGGTGGGGAGCAGCGAATAAACGCGATGCGTGCACACGTGCACACGATCCACGCCGCGGCTCGAATCGTAATCGCGAAATTCCTTCGTTCGATCGTTGCACGCGAACGTGAAAGAGCGAACGATCAGAAAGCGAACGGAGAAAGTCCGTTGTTGGACACTCTCTCTCCGCCTTGGAAACTCTCCTTCTTACCTGGCAACTGATTTATCGGCGACGCCCGTTCACCTGGAAAGATTCGGATACCCTCTCTCTCCCTCTATTGTTTCAGGGATCATGGGATCGACGTGTCATCTGACAGCGGTGATCGCGCTGTTCCTCCTTCGAGCGGCCACTCTACACGCCCATCGTGAGCACAAGGTTTATCGATCGATTTCCGGTTTCGCTCGAACGCTACCTCCTTCTTTCCTTTCCCCTCCCTCCCTCCCCCCCCCCTTCCCCTTTCCCTCGTGGCGCCACGTTTATAACTCGTTGTTATCGTTCGTTTCAAGGTTCACAACATCGTGCTGTATCCTGACAAGCACAGCTGGTGTCAGACTACCCAGATAAAGCAGGTGGTCACGTGGCCCCAGTGCTCCTCCCAGGAATTGGACAACAACGTCTGCGTGGGGGCTTGTTTCTCATACATGGTGCCGCACAGCGAGCCATCCGCCCCCGGTGATCTGATCAGACCTTACTGCGACTCCTGTCAACCGTTGGACAGTGTTTGGCACACGGTAATATATATATAAATATCGATATCCGATATCGGATGTCTCGCTATTTCTTTTTCTTTTCTTTTTTTTTTTTTTTCGTCGAGACTTTGCTCTTAAAAAAGAAAAAAAAAAAACAACAACGCAGGTCACGTTGGACTGCAAGGATGAGACGAACAATCCTATCACGATGCAGAAGAAGGTCCAAATCATCACCAATTGTTCGTGCACCTCGTGCATGGAAACTTCCCGTATCAAGCCGGACTACAACACTCTGCTGCAATCGTTGACAGACGAAAGTTTGGACAAGAACGTGAACGTGGTGCACGAGATGCCCGATCTGTTGGAGAATCCCAACTTGAACTTCTCCAAGAACACGAGCAGGGACGGTGTCCAGGCTAACGAGAGATTCATGCAGAACTTCAAACAGTTGAAAGACTCGGCCAAATTGGGGACGAAAGAGCTGTTCTCCAAGCTGGACGAGGACATCGATTTCGACAAGTTGAGGGAGTTGTTGGACAAATACGGGCAGGAGGAGGAGAAGCAACACTCTCATCAACGCCTCCACCAGCATCAACATCAATCGAGCGGGAAACAGCAGCAGCAACAGCAGCAGCAACAGCAGCAGCAGCAGCAACAACAACAGTCTCAGCATTACACGACCACGATGCTTCGAGGGCCTCATCATTCCATGGTTTTGGACTCGGACGTGAAAGAGAAGATCGACGTGGAACCCCATTATCTTCATCCAGCTGTCGCGGGCCAAGAGATCAGCTATCACGACAACGTGCTAGCTGTTGACAAGGATAAGAAAAAGGATTTCTGAGGGGAGGGGAGGGGTGGAAGACCTGCGTGTTTCGTGATGGAAACGCGTGGGGTATTCGGTGAACGAGATCGATTTCTTTTCCATTATTATTTGTTAAGATTCATTCGTGACCTAGTCCAATCCAGTAGTAAATTGTTCCATTTGATTTGATGGTAAATGAGATTCAGCTCGTTTCGCGTGCTATCGCATATATCTGTAAATAGAAGAGATTCCTCGTTTTATTTTATTTCCGTTCTTATTTTCTTTTATATCTTTGTTGGCAAAAGATAATACTCTCTTTTTTTTTTTTTTTTTTTTTTTTTTTTTTTTTTTTTTTTTTTTTAGTATCGATTATTATCGTCGGGAAACCGAAGTTGGAATTAACGTGCGAAAACCTCGTTAGGATTTAATCATATTTAGGGAAATACGATAAGATGGATGAGTAAAAGATATGGAAAGGAAGAAAAAGGGGAGAGAGAAATTCTAATATATATTTAATTATTATATTAATTAATAACTATTTAATATACTCACGCGTCTAATAAACGAATATTACGTCCGTTCCGGAATTTTAGTTATTAAAATAGCAGGACTGGAAACCATTGTAGATTTAAAGATGTTATATGTCTTGTTGACTGGCTTAAAAAAAAAAAAAAAAAACATATACTTTGTCTCGCAGAGAATAAAACCAAGTCTGTACAATTTTTTCCTCATATGCATCCTCGACCATTCTCCCGCTTTGGAATCGCTTATTCTTCTTCTTCTTCTTAAAAAAAAGCTCGAGTACCGAGCATAAGAGAAATTAAAGGAGGAACGAAAAATCAAAGGAGGAAGAATTATCAGCGAAAAACGAATGCAAAAGAGAAAAGAAATGTGAGACGAATCAAAAGACGAATCGTAACGTAGTAAGTAATGCAATTAGAGATGACATGGTTGAAAGGAATAAATGTAATTGAAAGACGGAATAAAAATTCGTGCAACGTTTCGTTTCGTTCCTTGACGACGTTCCTTTTTCTTCGAAAAAAAAAATTTGTCAAATTTCCATACGCTTACCAAAGAAACCCACTACTCGCCGCTTCTTTCCGTTATCGCTCTCGATCATCGGAGATAAAATCTTGGACACGCTTTATCGATGAATAAAAAAAAAAAAAAGAAAAAAGAAGAAAAAAATGGCCACCGATTGATCGATGATCGCGATCGATCGCGAATAATATTGGATTGGGATCGCAGGCGATTGGATCGAAGATCGGTAAATTTGTCATAGATAAGAGGCGTCGGTTCGAATGGAAGAAATTGTCGGTGATAAGGAACGGTTTCGACCAATGAGCGGCGCGAAAGCGAGCGGATCGCCGGTACCGAAGAGCGATTACAACTCGGTAACGGAACGAGGATCGAGCGAGGCGACGACGAGCAGTGTTGCTCGGCGCTCCGTTGCGCGTCCCTGCTGCTTTTCTGCGCGGTCGCGTAGCGTTTCACTGTGACGGCGCAGCTGCGCGTGCCACCGAGAAATTATGTTGCCCGGTTGCTGACACCGGGAAGCGAAAGAAAGAACTGAAGATCGCACGCGATGCACAGCAAATCCCTGGTTACTCGATCGCCTTTAAATGCCCACCGACAATCCGACAAACGTCATCACGGCAATCGTCGTCACATTAGAGAAAGTGGATAGCATCGTACGAGCCTCTTCCGAGCCGAGGACAACAACCACCATGGACGACGGTAGGCCTCTGTTATTTTAACGTTACTTGGTGATGGTTGCTGGGTGAAATGGATTTACACTGCTTTGTCTCCTCCGGGAGGAGGAGAATATGGTTTAGATACGCCGAAATTTACGAATTTAGGATTTGAGATCAGAAGAAGTCGAGGAAGAAGTTTCGAGAAAGATTCTTTGAGTATTTTGACGGGTCGATTTGAATTTTTTTTTTGTAATTAAAAATATAGGGATATTTGATATATTGGGATGGTGAGATATAAGTTCACGAAGCGAAGAGATCGATGAAGAGCGGTTATTGAGGTATTGAGGCGAACGAAGTGTTTACGTTATAGTCACGCTATAAAAGTAACAGCGAAACTTTCCTTTGCGTCAATCGCCGACCGGTCTCCGGTTGCTCAATGTTACGCCAATACTTGCGAGACAATCTCGAATCGATACGAGATCGAGACGATTCGAAACTTTGTTCCAGGTCAGGGTTGGACAGACAGGAATTTAGAAAAATATCCCGAATGTAGTATGCACGAGCCATGTGTTCAAATTGTAAAGCAGACGGATAATCCATATTTATTCGTTATAAAAATAATGCGATTTCGAAATAGCTACGCTTATTTCTAAGACGTTCCATTTAAAACACGCAATCTCGATGAACTTTGACAATGAATGCGAAAATTATTATTATATCGATCTGACGAATTATATTTCTTGCGTGAAAAACTTTTGCAAAATCGAATTGATCAATCGTCAATCGATTAGAAATTTAAAGAAAACTTTTTCGATTCGAAAAATACTTAAGGTAAAAATTGCGATCTTTTTTCATGGAAGAAAAAAATATAAGATAAAATGAAACGAAAGATTATCGAGGAAGTTTTACAATTTTCTTTCGCGAATTTTCACATTTCTTAGCGCGGGGCCAAAAATGCTACGAATTCAAAATGGAGGACATTTTGTTGCCCTAATTATCTCACGAATGACCATTGTCCACTCGAAACGATTCGTCAATTAAGAGGTGACGTATTTAACGAACGAAGTTATGAAGTGGCCGAGATCTCGGTCTAAAGTGTTCTATAATATAACGATTTAAAAAGTTTAAAGAAAAGAAATCTCGTCAATTGGCGTTAAAAGTACAATTGATATCGAATATTATTTCAAATAAATATAAATGATATTAATCGTTATTTAATGTAAAGATTAAGAATCGATACGGATAATTGTGTTTTATTATTTTGATCAATAATTAATAATCGTTATACGTTTTTTAATTTTAATCGAACGATCCGATTAAAGTAATTATCGATTTTTTCAATTGCTACGTTATTTTCTATATGTTGTTACGTTATTTTCTGCATGGTTGGCTCTTCTATTTATTCACTTTATCGGTAACAACAATTCGTCAACCTTATCAACCTTATCATTGCATATTCGTAATATTTCTTGTCTGATCCGTGACGTCTTCTTCTACTGTGAAGAAACACGCTTTGGGAAATCTCACTAAAATTAAGCAAGCTTTCCTTATCGAAGTATAATTATATATCGTTTTATGCAATCATTGCAACATATCTAATTAAATAAACGCATTTACTTTTCTCGACGAAGGAATTTATGAACAATGAAAAATATCTTTCAATTAATCTAAGATATAAGAGATACCAGATTTCTTTATCTAAATAATCTAAAATTCTAATCATGAATAACAACTTCGTTCTTTATCGCTCGCAAAAATAATTCAACGCGTGATATTTTTATATCTTCCTAAGAATCGACGATATTTCTTTGTCGATCCGTTCGTAAGTTAACAGATATAGAAATCTCGTGATTCGTGATAACCCCGAAGATCACTCGTTGCAATCAGACATCATTCACAAATCAAAGTAATTTTTTTCTTCGCCTATCTTGGCTGAGAAAGACGCAAAGCCGTGTCAGAAGAAATGATACAATGATACACTTTGAAATCTCATCACCTCGTCGTATTTGATTTTCTTATTATAAAAATAGATATAGACGCGGAAATAATAATTTTCCATGTACCATTGAACATTTCTCGAAACGATGATTCCATCCGTAAAATAACAGTGGTTCGGTGTGCAACCTTGAGTCAGATCTATAATTGCTATTAATCGCACGTCTCCAAATATGATATTCCACGCGCATGATTTTGCACGGATCATGCACAGTCGTAAATAAAATAGTTAATAATTCCGGTGTTGGAAATGTCCGATGTTTCGACCAGCGATGAAATCAGGGTCGAGTCACTGGATTATTATAGATCCGAAAAGTTCAAACGGCCATGACGGTGGTCGAGCGACGCTTCTAAATTCGCAGGAAGCGAGTAGGAGAGGCAACCGAGTGAATAAGTAGAATATGAGACGATTTTCATCGAATCGGTCGACGACACTACTCGAAAATAGCATGGAGGCCGAGACGAGTCTGTCTTCCGCGGCATTTATTCGAATTTGAAGTCGAGTTTGTCAAAGATTTATCATGTAAATCGTTTGAGTTTGTTCAATGACACGTTTGATAAGAAACGAGGAAAGTTCTTTCTTCTTTATGAGATATCTTCGAATCGAAATAAATCGTCTCGATGATTCGATCGATTAAATAAAAATTTCTTGTTTGAATAAAAAAAAAAAAAAAAGAAAAGAAACGTGATCGATAAGATAATTTTCTTGAAAAAATAATGTAAAAGAAAAAAATAAACTTTCGTAAGTTTTCACATTTCGATAATAGTAGAAAAGTAATCTTTTCGTTTGACTTTTAATAGTCGAATCATTGCTCGTGTTTTTAATTATACGTATCTCCTTCAAAAATTCAAATAGGCATTCGAACTATCGATAAAACTAACGGTTAATTCAACAACAAGACATTATCGTGTTGCAAACATCAAATTCCTAGATGTTTGCAGATGAAACGTGACCGATTATCGAATAGACGAATTCGTAATAAGAGTAGATATACAGGGCTTTATTTGATCAATAAAATCGCAAAATGCACACGTGAAACGTGATCGGATATAGGAAACTATGATAAACGAGATAAACGCGAAACACGTGTCACTTAACCGGAAATCCTACGATTCGGAAAAATGAGAGGCGCATAATTATAAGCATCGCGACTTTGGTCGCGGGAAATTGCGTGTCAACGCTTACGCAATTTGCAATATTCACCTTACATAAGTTTCGCTATCTCTTGGCCGGTATATAATGACGACATCCAAGAATTCTCGAACGCAGTATGAAAAATTCAAAAACCCACGATTCCTGACGAGATTAGAGAAATCGAAAGAGAACAATTCTGGGAAACGATGTAACGAAAACAAATTTTGAAACGCTTTTTTAACGCTTTTCCTGATTCTCCACATATTCGTATATATAATAAATGTATATCACCGAATAAATTAATCGTAGTTCGACGATGAGATTTCCTCCGGTCATTAACGATATCTCCGTCATTGATGATTATCCGTTCTACTATCTGACCTATAGTTGATGGATAGTGTCGCATTACCAGCTTGTCTTCATTCAAACAAACATGTCCCTGTTATCGTTAAAACATTGAAACATAATCTTTAAACGATACTATATATAGAAGAACATGCGGCATCACTTGTGATTTTGAAAATCGACGCTATTTTACGAACCTCGCTCGAAGAGAAGCTTCTGTCGGAGCTCAAATAATCGTTAACGCGTCGAGTGAGCTAAAAAGGATTAAAATCGAAATTAACCAAAAGAGGATACGGGAAAGAAATCTCCTACTAACTGCACGAGAATTAGGTGTGAACGTTTCAGACAGTTAGCACGTGTTGGCCACGATAAAAAGAAAGTTAGCTCGAACAGAGTATTGACCACGAGGCTCTCGGGCTCGTTCAATACTCCGATGGAGAATCTAAGCGAAAGAGAGAGTAAGAGCGAAAGAGAGATGAAAGAGTATTGTAAAAGCAGACAAACCGTTCGATTTACCTGGATTTTACCGTTACAACGCTTGAATAAGTATACTACGGTAACTACTCAAAGGATAATAGAAAAGATATCGCCATAAAAACAGGCGCATGCATTTTAAGTCCCTTGCAATTAACAGGACCGTCCTCATGCTACGGAAAGCGATTTAGTGAGAACAAATGAGTCACGAATGGCAACGTCGTCGTAGGTCGAGGCAGAACCCAATGGTAGGGATATCTCAGGCACGACTCCGATAAAATTGGGGCCCCGAGCTTATGGTTAGCCCTTGAGAATACGATAATATATATGAAGTAACGAGTACAAAGGTCGAAAAATTTCGATAACGTCGCTTCGATCGATTGTTCCATTCGATTGAAAAAATAAATTTAATCGAAGCGAAATTTGAGATTCTAAAATAACTTTCGTGACTCGAGCAAAATGATAAAAAATTTTCAACAATTTTATTATCTGTGAGAAATCGCTGACAAGTCGTGTGAACGTTCGCACGAAAATCAACAAACGATAGCAAGTATCTCGACGAATAGTTTTACGTTTCTCGAAATGTTGACAAAGCGTAATCGAATCGGTATTCGTTTCGAAACCGATAACGGAGCTCGACACGTGGCGTACCTGAAAAGAGGTGACGAAGAGTACAGCCCTGAACCGGGATGGAAGCAGGCAAGAGCGCAAGTCTTCTGCTAATGCCAAACGATTCCCTTAATACACTCGCGTCTGGAATCTTGTTGTAATTGGGTTGAACGCTTTGTGCCAGCTGTCGCATACTTGTCAGTATTTCACAGTGATCGTATAAACCGGTCTAGCACGAAACTCGGCGAGGGGATCGCCGTTGTCGAGCGAGAATAATTCAAGTGAGCACGGTCGGAAAGTAAGAGAAGGAGTGTTAGAAGCGCGACTCGAAAGGAACGGCTGGTTGGACGCCATCTTAGATCCATCGCGAGCACGTTGCAGACAAAGCGGTCGAAGAAGGTCCGAAGAATCGCGAAGTTTCCGAGAAAATAATTTCCAGGCATGCGAGAAGGAAAGGTGTCATTTTTCCTCGAACGTGAACGCTTATAAAACCCACACAGTTTATGTCGACAGAGGCAGAAGTGGTGCTTTCTGTGAGCGAGAAAACTACGGTGCGGCCACAGATGCATGAAACGCAAGTGAAACGAAAACGGTGTGCAAAGTGACTTCTTGGAGGAGAGAGATTTTTTCTTTTCTGTTTCCTAATTTACGGGGTCCTAAAAGGGCGGAGCTGATAATCGACGCGAGCGAACGAATTGAAATTTCCAGCATGAGTAAGATACTAGGTACAAACTATTGCACCGTGTTCTCTGTACTTAGAAGTCCCGAAGAGGGTGAATCGTTTAAACGGATCATCTGAAAGAAGAATTCGTCGACGAGCGAAAGATAAGTTGGAATAACGTGAAAAAGAGAACGGATTTTGTATATCGATAGTCAATCCGTCGAGAGCTATTAGTCAGAATTAATCAATCGAATTACGAGCGATTGTCACGAGTGAATATTAGTGTTAAAAGAAGTGTGTCAGTTTTTCGTGCGTGAAAAAAATAAAGTGCTTATTCATTCTAAAAATCATTCTAAGAACTCGTGAGAGTCGTGTGATCACCTTTGAGAAAGGAACTTTAACATTGACGTAATCGATTCTATATATAGGTGTTCGAAATTCGCGAAACGGTGAAGCGGACGTTATACCAGTGAGGTGCACATATTTTATTTTGAAACAACTTTTACTTTTCCAGAGCGTTAATCGAACTTTTCGATCGAGATTTATTCGTGTACTTAAAACGTTGAAAAGTCGAGATTCGTGATTTCTCGATTCGAGATCGTGAAAATAAATTTTTTGCTCGTTTCAGTCATCGATAACGCGATCGATAGATCATTCGTCGATTCGATCGTGACCATTTGACCGATAACGCAGATCTCTGTCGATCGAAGAGAATCGCAAGAAAAAACACAAGTGTGATTCGAGCCGGAATTGACCAAATCGACCAAGTTTCTCTGCCGATCGAGACATCCGACGGCATCCAAAATATTTTTATAACCCGTAATGTATTTGAGATCGCACGTACAGGCAGCAAAAGGGAGGCATGAGAATGCAAGAGAGGCGATAGAAGTTGGCTGCGGAGCAAAAGGCCGAGATAACATTGGACCAGCCGCGAGAGGCAAGGGAAAGACGAAAAAATCTCTGGTGAGCTGCTGGGATTTGGAAGAGCCTCAGCTGCTTCATCCGGGATCGGCCGACAGGGATTCGAAACAGGCGTCTGTGCGACGCGGTATGAGCGAAGGTGAACGAGCAGTGACCACGCCACGAATTGGCTGGCGAAAGCTCACCGATCCTGGCGACTGACACGAATCAAGGAACTCGGGGGCAGGTCCGAAGCGATAGCACCAGCTACTGTTTCATAGCCAACGTCGTCGTTGTCCTGCCACTCAACTTAGCCACTGCCGCCTCAACTCTCGTGGAAGGATCTTCGAGTCCCGACCCGTACGACAGGATACCGCTATATCCTGACGCGTCCTCGATTATTTAATGTCAGCCAAATGCAAGAGAACGCTCCGTCGAGATTTACATCGAGAACATTGAAGACGGACCCGAAAATGGCGGGCAATCGGTGTCGGTAGCAGACGGGGTTATTGCCTAAAACAGCCGTCTCCTCGTCCTGCGCTATTATTGGGGGACGAACGTTTGAATCGTTCGCTTCGTTTCGGCTAGATTCCCATTTTTCTCTCTTGTCACGAGTATTTTATCCTCGTCGATCTCCCTCTGAAGCCAGTTGACGAACTTTCGTGTACTATCCATTATTTTTATTTTTCTCTCTTTTTTTTCACATTGTGTCGTTGTTATATAAGCAACAAGGGCCCATGATTGGCCCATAGACAATAAATCGTAGTCGATAGAAGAGTAGTGGTAACATGTAGTTGTGGAACGTACAAGATAAAAAATTAGGAAGAAGGACAAGAAACGTCGAAAGGGAAAACGCTGTCGTGATACCGCAAAAGTAGTATCCTCGCTGAGTGATCTCTCGCGAGACCACGAACAATTGTACCTAATTAAAAAAAAGAGAAGAGAAAACATATATATATAGATACGTGTGCTTACGTATATATATATATGTATATATAGATAGATATACAAGATTCGTATTTAATTCCTGCTCCTTTCCCTGCGATCATCATCATGCCACCCACTCCGAATAAATTGAACTTGAGCTTCGCCAGAAACGCGTACAACGTGTTTGGAGCGCGCGGTACCAATACGACTACTGACCATCAGCGCGAGCAGAAAACGGAACTCTTAGAGGGTAAGGAGCTTGGATCAACGCCTAATTACCCACCTTAAATTATTTGGCAACGATTCCATCTTATCGTCCTTGACGATCCTTTCGAATCAAACCGTCTTCCATAAATATCGCATCATTCAATCGATATTTCATTCAATCAATGATCACGAGTATTACACGTTGTTACGATCCAATTTATCTCATCCAATTATTTCTATAAAATTTCTTCACCCATCGTCAATAATATCGATCTAATTAGTTGGCTATTGTGCTATTTTAGGTACCAAGAGTAATGGTATACTTCATCTAAAGAATGGCATCGATTACATCAATCCTGGTGAGGAAGATCAAATGGAAATTTATGGGTAAGCATCGTGTCAAAGCGTGTCGATCAATGTTACAACGATGTTAAATATATACGTTTTTCTAATTTTTCCAGCTACAAAAGAAACAAAATTTTTACCGCTATTACTTGGTTCTTGATTATAATCACCGGAGGCCTTCTTAGATTGGTCTTTCATTGGATACCACATTTGATGTTACTCGCGACTCATTCCAAATGTCAATTAGAAACCGCAGACACTGTTTTATTGGTGGAAAGATTTCAAGGGAAGCATACGAGCTATCATGTGAAAAAATTAAAGACTTTGGCCGCTGAAGATATATTGTAATTATCCTCTAGTTTTTCCTTACGAAATTATAATATTATAATTATCTTTACGAACAACGATATTTTTATTAATATATATATTTTTATTAATATATCGCAAATATAATTTTTTTTTTTTTTCCGTATTTAAAGAAGCAAACCCTTCGATGGAAAATCATTATTGGATAACGAACCTTGGATGGAGAACGGCAGTATGATAACTATCAAGGAAGTAAAAGAAGAATATCCGACACTGTCGTTGCATTTAATCGGTGGACAATTTAAACGTAAGAATTCAATGTTTAAAAAAAAGAATTTTTCTTTCGTATAAAAAAAATTGATTAATATTTTATTTGATAATATTTTTAATATACAGAGGTTTCTTCGATCGTTCTTTTCCATTGCAAGAAATTAACTTACGTTTGGGATCCCGAAAGATCAGAATTTCTCAAGCTTCGAGGTTTGGACGCCGGTGTTCTAACTTCCACGTTGCATCAAATGCAAGGATTGAATTCACTTGAGCAACACATGAGGCAAATATTTACACAAATTATTATGAATGATCGATATGAGAATGATCGATTTTTATTACGCAACATTTTGTTTAAACTATATTTCTTTATTTTCTTACAGACGCAGCGTTTATGGAAACAATGAAATCGTGATTCCAGTAAAAAGTATTCTAACTTTGCTTTGTCTCGAAGTTTTAAATCCATTCTACGTCTTCCAATTGTTTAGCTTTGGTCTCTGGGTTGCTGACAATTATTACTATTATGCCATGGTTATCTTGACCATGTCCAGCATTGGTATAATCATGGCAGTCTTCCAGACTCGTCGAGTACGCGATTTTCTATTCACTCCTAATTTACCTTCTAAATTGTATCGATAATCAAGGCTCGATTTGTAGAATCAACATAACTTACGATCCACTGTACATTCTTCCGATGTGGCCACGGTGATAAGAGATCGCACGACCGGGCAAACAGCGACTGTTCCTGCTGAAAAATTGGTACCTGGTGACATTTTGGTTATTCCCTCTCACGGTTGTTTGATGCCTTGCGACGCGGTACTTCTCACTGGAAATTGCATTCTGAACGAATCCATGTTAACCGGAGAATCAGTTCCGGTTACGAAAACGCCTATTCCTTCGTCCAATGAAGTGATATACGACACCAAGGAGCACGCAAGGCACACTCTCTTTTGTGGTACCAAAGTTATTCAAACCAGATACTATGGATCGGAAAAGGTAACTCGAATTCGAATTACTTAGAATATTCGAATTCCGAATAATTTTTCTATTGATCATCGAAATAGAAACGATTTATAAAAAAAAATGATGATGTAATTATTTATTTATTTTATTTATTATTTTACAGGTATTAGCCGTGGTTGTTAGAACAGGATTCAATACCAGCAAAGGTGGTTTGGTCAGATCCATCATGTATCCTCCACCAGTAGATTTCAAATTCGAACAAGATTCGTACAAGTTCGTAATCTTGTTGGCCGGCATAGCTAGTATTGGCGTGATTTATACCATCGTGACAAAGGCTATTAGAGGTGTCCCTAGCAACCATATCGCTCTAGAGGCGTTAGATCTGATCACCATAGTAGTGCCTCCAGCTCTGCCGGCAGCTATGACCGTTGGCCGTTTAGTAGCGCAGAGAAGACTCGAGAAGAACAAGATTTACTGTACGAGTCCAAGAACTATCAATGTATCGGGATCGATCGATTGCATTTGTTTCGACAAAACCGGGACACTGACTGAAGATGGCCTCGACATGTGGGGCGTGGTGTCCTCCGTCGATAGGAAGTTCCAGCCACCCGTTAAAAACATCGCGTCTTTGCCTCTGAACGATCTTCTAATAGGAATGGTAACGTGTCACGGAATCACTATAATAGAGAATCAACTCGTGGGTGATCCGCTTGACTTAAAAATGTTCGAGTCTACTGGCTGGACGTTGGAAGAACCCGATGTGTCCGATACATCGAAATTCTCTATGCTTTTTCCTACGATAGTACGGCCACCGAAGGGCTCCAAGCTGCTGAAGAAACTACCCACCGAGATAAGAATATCGCTCAGCCGACAAAACTCCATGTCTTCGGACGTGATGGATAACATCTCGTTGAACAACCTCGATACCACGTTGGCTGGTTCCACGACGGAATTGGGAGAGCAAGGTTTAGAAATTGGGATCGTTCGTCAATTTCCATTCACGTCTAGTCTTCAGAGGATGAGCGTGATAACGAGGACGTTGGGAGCTAATCATTACGATCTTTATTGCAAAGGCAGCCCAGAAATGATACTCAGCCTTTCCAGAGCGGAATCCAGTAAGTATTGTATACAATCCAGTAACAACGACAAATGTTATATTTAAAAAAATATTTTTTCTTTTTTTTAAACTACAATTAATCACGTTGTTTTTACAGTTCCACCAGACTTTGGCACCGTGTTGCAAGATTATACTTCAGAAGGTTACCGTGTAATCGGCCTCGCGCACAAATCATTGAACCGTCTTCCCTACGCTAAGGTTCAACGATTGAGTCGCGAATCTGCCGAGTCCGATCTTACGTTTTTAGCGTTCGTGATCATGGAGAATAGATTGAAACCGGAAACGACACCTGTGATCAGTGCTCTAAACACTGCCTGCATAAAAACCGTTATGGTGACTGGGGACAACATGCTGACTGCACTCTCAGTCGCCAGAGATTGTGATATCGTGAAACCAGGTACACCCGTTATCGCAGTCTCTGCCACTCAACAGAATCAGATGAAGCCACAGATCTACTTCACGAAGAGCAACAGCGAACCGTCAACAACGCACGCGGATCTTAGCGAAATGACCGATCTAAACAGTGTTGCTAGCTTGGAAACGATTGAAAGTGGCTTTGGGAACAAGTACGAAAACGATATCAATTATTTATCCGACGAGTAAGTTCGTCAAATCTGTCCAAGCGTACAACGTAATTCACCCGATTTTTACACATTTATCCTCCGCCATTTCAGCTTGCAACATTCGCAAAATAAATATGTGTTTGCACTCACGGGCAAAACATGGGCACTAGTCAGACAATATTATCCGGAATTGATTCCCAAACTCGTCACGCGTGGAGCAATTTTCGCAAGAATGTCGCCGGATCAGAAGCAACAACTCGTTCAGGAATTGCAATCTTTGGGTTATTACGTTGGTAAGTGACTTCATCTCTCTCAAGATAATTAATATATTATAAATTTCGATCAGAAAATGAAATGTCGATTTAAAAAATGATTTCCAGCTATGGTAGGCGATGGGGCAAACGACTGCGGAGCTCTGAAGGCGGCCCATACCGGAATTTCTCTCTCCGATACCGAATCTTCGGTAGCGTCGCCCTTCACCAGCCGCGAAACCAACATTTCCTGCGTACTTACCGTGATTCGCGAAGGCCGCGCAGCCCTGGTCACTTCTTTCGGAATCTTCAAATACATGGCGAGCTACTCGCTCACACAATTCATTTCCGTGATGTTGCTGTACGGTATCGAGTCGAATCTAACGGATATCGAGTTCCTCTACATCGACCTCTTCATCATCTCGATCTTCGCTTTCTTCTTTGGCCGTACCGAAGCCTACGATGGGCCCCTGGTCAAGACAGCTCCTCTCAACAGTCTTATCAGTACCACCCCCATTCTAAGCCTAGTGACGCAAATTTTGATCGTGGCATTGTTTCAATACGTCAGCCTGTGGCACCTCGAGCAGATGGATTGGTTCGTACCGTTCAACGCCACGCTCAAAGCGGCCGAGAACAAAGACGACGTGAGCTGCACGGAAAATTACACAGTTTTCATAATCAGTTCCATGCAGTATATCATTCTGGCTGTGACGTTCTCGAAGGGTCATCCGTACAGAAAGTCTCTGTTCACGAATTACGGGCTGCTCACCTCGTTCATCCTTCTCAGCCTCTTCTCCGTCTACCTCGCTACTTTCCCCTTCGAATGGCTGAGCAATTGGTTCGAGCTGATACTTCCGGACGATGTAGGTTTTCGTTTCATCCTGGTCGGATACGGCGTCGCCAACTTTTTGATCTCGTTGCTGATGGAATACGTGTTCGTCGACTACCTCGTTTTTAGGAAATTACGTTACCGTTGGCACAACGTAGACAAGTCCAGGCGAAAGTTTCTCGCCATCGACCGTGATATGGCGCGCGACTTAAAATGGCCACCGATCTCCCAGGAGCCGTTGCCCGAAGCGGCGCCGGACATTCTGATCCGTCAAAACGTGACCGAGATCAAGATCGAGAAACGCGTGCCCGAGCCCTGCCATCCGGCCGACACCAGCCTCGTGAACAATCCCATCTGCGCCAATTTCAAGCACTTCGGCTCGGCAAGAGAGGTCACCCTGAATCCCAGATCTTTGTTCAACGATCGAAGGAACACCATGTCGATGCAAACGGTCCCCTGCTTCGAGGACAGGGACACGGCAGGGACGGTGCAACCGAATACGGAGCTAACGGGGAAGAGAAGGTACAATTCGGAATCGGAGAAGGGGATCAATCGATGCGAAAAGCCGTTCAAGAGTCACAGCACCAATCCGATCGCGACCTTGCCCAGGAACTCGGCCATGGCTCTTCAACCGCAGAAATTGAGGGATTTGAAGAATATCTTGATGCACAAAAGCGAGGACGGCTTGTCCCCCGCTACCCAAAGTGTCCTTGAACTCGATATTCTACCGTCGTAGAAGGTAGGAGAACGATTCGAGACGTTGATTCGGATTCGAATGGCACGGATACTTCGAGCAACGAGCAATGACGGTTCAACATTGAGGAGCAAGCTGCTGTTGGTTGTTCAAAGTATCTGCGCGATTTCTTCGTGGGATTGGATCGCCACGATGCAATCGGAATCAATTTTGTCAGTGCATTTGTTGCCCCATGACAACGTTGCGACACACAACAAGACTGTTTCAACTGTTACACCGGAACCGTTCGAGAACGTAATTGTAATTTAAGAATCAAGATCGGAATCGAAAGTGATTTACGATCGAACTGGCGAATTTCCGACACGACGATCTCTAAATATCGTTGACAAGAATGCATTTAGAATGCCGCGGCGTTCACGACAGCTTGATAACCGGCGATGCTCGATCGAGCACCTCGATCGGGTCCCTTTTGACCCGATATTTCTTCGTCCTCCTCCTTTATTAGTATTCGAGCGTACCACTCTCAAACGAGAAAGTATTATCGTTAGTTTATTTAACTTAGAAGATGAATTTTAACTCGCCCTGTTTCCCAGGGTTTACGGCTCTTCTCTACGGAAGAACAACATTTTTGACGCAGATCGTACGATGTAGATAGGTAGATACCTTTTTTCTTCTTTTTTTTCTTCTCTCCTTTTTCTTTTTGGGAACTCTCGCGTTTAAACGCCGTTTTTTTTTTTTCACTGCGGTTTTAAAGATATTACTTAAAATTACGAAAGAATGAATATACGGATAACACGAGCTCCATGTGACAGAATGTATAGCGAGTCGAAATTAATTTTTTTGTAAATTAGACACAGCTAGTAGGGAATTGATGGATACATTTCCCGTTTTCACGACGAGCATTTTTGTTTTTTTTTTCTCTCTCTCTTTTCTTGATTGTTTTCAATGATCGAACAATATCTAGTCCGATTTCGTCGATGGCAATAAGTTGTTGTTATCAAAAATACGAGGAACGGGGCCCGAAAAAAAACGACGCTCGTTGACGAGCGTCGATCAATGAAGGATCGTCGAAGGAAAAATTATTTATTATTTCGTCGCGAAAGCGGGAAGCATAGTGTAATTCTTTTCGTTGGTGTGCGAAGATGAGAACTTATATTAGTAGTTTATCCCAAGATTGTCTTACTTAATCGAAGCCTCGAGAGCCGACGCCTCCTACGATCCTACAACGCAGAAGTTTGACACTCGTTGTCGCGGATTGCTTATCGTTGAAACGAATAAACGAGAATAAATGTGTACTTATATACGCGATGAAAATCACATACTTAAAAGAAAAAAAATAATAAAAAAAGGAAAAAAAATAAAAAAAAAGAAAAGCGTTGCCCTGCTATTAAGCAACGTATTATGCTTGCGTTTGAGTTATATCGGTTGTCGAATAACAAAGTATGTTTTTAATGTAAAGATTTTCTTCTTTCATCCCTACACTCACCCCTTCCTCAAGAATGAAGACAAACGAGTAAAATAGAAACGAAACGTTTTATTAAGCGCGAATTCACGCGCGCTTAATTTACAAGCATAATATAATTTTTCACATTCATTCGCCGTTACGTTTGCCGAAAGATAAGAGATATCGTTGCCGCGAAGGACTCGATTAAATCGATGAAAGAAACACGACGAGTTATACACGGGATATACACGGCATCGCGACAAAACGAACCTTTCCAAACTTGCACTTGACACTTCGACCAACTTCTTTAGTCCCCGACTTTTTTAACGATCGATCTGAGCGCGGGAATCGAATCCAAGTTTCTCGGTCACACACGGCGCATACATATTCCTAAGATCCTCGGTGGTAACATTGTAAACTTTGTTTCATGCAAAGCTTTCACAGAGAGAACTATCTCCATCCCTTTCCGATTCATTTCGTTCCGCTACGAGTTGATGACGTACGTTATCCAGTCGACCGTTTTCGCCACTCGATGATAGATTCCTGGCTGGCCTGGCTGCGCGCACGAGTAACCCGCCGAGACGATCCCTATCAAGTACCATCGTCCCGTCTTCTCCAGCATCAATGGGCCACCGCTGTCACCCTGCGGGACGAAGAAAGCCAAGAAAGAGATATCGATTCGACTCGGCTCCAATCGGCAATACTTACCTGGCACGAGTCCTTCCCACCTCCGCGGTAACCGGCGCACATCATCTCGTCGTAAATCACCACGTTAATCCCATTGGATCGGTGCCACCTCTCGCATATCCGATTATCTATCACGGGCACGTCCACAGCTTGAAGGGTCTTGGGCCGTAGCCTCGATCCTGTTATTTTTTTCAACAAATTCGTGAATAATATATAATAATATTCGAGCGTATCGATATATTTACCAGCCTGCAAAGCGCCCCATCCAGCGGCCCAACCATACTGGCCCAAAAAATCCTCGTTCTTCTCGGGCAAACAAATCGGCGCTATGTGAGGCATGTAATGCACCGGTCGATCCAATCGAAGAACGGCTACGTCGAACCTGGAAAAATCTCGTTTCACTTTGGTTTCATAATCGTGACGGTTCTAGCAATCAATTTAGGTGGGTGCCCCACCTGTCAGCCTGAGGCGTGAACTTGAAGTAAGGGTGAACGCGTATCTCCCTGACCCCGAACGTGTAAGCGGGCAGCGTCTCGCTCGCCGAATTGACGACGTAATCGCCGAGGGTGACCTGGACTTGACGCGCCGACGCCCTAAAAAAGGGTAAATTAGGGATGAAATTTAGGGAGGATGGAGTGGCTTTCGACTTACTTGGCTACGCAGTGGCCAGCGGTCACGACGTGGAATCGATTGACGAGGGTGCCTCCGCATCGGCTCGATCCGATTCTTATGTAAGCCTGAGGAAAGAGCGGAACGTTTTCTCTCTCGTTTATTAAAAAAAGAAATAAACGACGCGCAAACGAATCGACGATTGATCGATGAAAATCTGACCTGCCATGGAAAACTGCCGAACCCCGCGTCGTCGCCTCCCACGATCCTTCTCTGCGCGGTCTGCTTCGAGGCAGGTATTCCGCAGCCTGCAATTACACACAAGGATGTGGACACCACGTTTTAGTCCTTAGTTAAGTAGGTATAAGCTGTCCTTATCGTGGAATCGATTCGTTCATTCGCGGATAATTTCTCGAAGAGTGATTAGTGATAGTATAGTAATCGAATACGATTCTTGTAACGACGGAAATGCGTGTTTCGTCCGGTCAAAGTCTGATTGATCGTCGAGTTAACACCGTTGGATCGAGTTAGACTTGGAGTAATTCGATTATTTGACGAGTTGAGAAGAAGAAAAAAAAAAAAAAAAGAAAAGATCGAAAAGCGTGAACTTGAACGAAAGAAGGAAAAAATTGTCCGTTTCTTGAAATTCGAGATCGTAATTCGGGGGAGGGGAGACGGAGGATCGTTTTCTCGCGAGTTTCGAGCGAAAACCGGAAGTGGATGCGAAACATGGAGGACTCGCGTGACGGGAGGACGCGAGTCGAAGATCGGTGCAGAACGGATTCATTTCGTTGTTCATCGCGATGAGCATGCAAGACAGGTGAAGAAGAATTAATTAAATGGAGGGAGGAAGGCGAACGGTAGCTTTGTCGCGTGCAAGATTGTTGGCGAATCAAACGGGGATACGAGAAAATAGGTTGGTTCCCTCGTGGTTTGGAAGGTGCGAACAGAGAAAGTGAAGGTTCTCGATGACATGCCGAGGAAAGTGCAAGTGCTAAAGAGACGAGCAATTTGCAGGCGAAGAACGTTTCGACATGCCGAGGAAAGTGCAAGTGAGTAACGTTTCGTAGAAAAACAAAACGAAAAAAAAAAAAAGAAAGTAAGAGTAAAAGAGAAATCGAAGATAAGAAACGGCGAAGGAAGGAATAGGATTCGGGTCGGAGAAGTAACGAGAAAGAAAATGAAGAAAGAGATGGATAAAACTCGTCTCGTCTAAAAAGAGAAGAGAGAGAGAGAGAGAGAGAGAGAGAGAGAGAAAGAGGTGATCATGCTAGTGCAAGAATCGGATGGCATGCTTTCTGTAGGAAGGACTTACGATCGTCGTTGACTGTCTCCGTGTAAGTATCCAACGAAAGCGGCTGAGACTGATCTCTAGGTGCCTCAATCAGGTTATAATCGGAGGAGCTGCCTTTCGGCTCTCTCCTCTGACAACAAGCGAACATGATGCCGCCGCAACTGCCGTCCAAAAGGCCAGCGGACATCCAGCACATTAGAAAAAATTCGCAGCTTCGTCCGTCACCGCACAACGTATCGTCACCCTTCCACAGCGGTCTTTTTTGTTGACGCGGCTCTGCACAAAACAGGGCAAACTGTTTTTTCTTCCACTTTTTCTTCCATCCTCCTCTCCCTCCGGAACCGGAAAGAATCGAGAAATAAAACCACGGAAGGGTACACGGCTACGCTTTTGCCCCTCTTAACCGTTTCTTTCTCTTTCTTTCTTCCTTTCTTTCTTTTTAAAGGACGAATTACTCCAAGCCTAACTTTCGCAACACTTTCGCGAGAGAAACGAAATTGAAAAATATTGGGCAATCAATATTGAAAAGTGACCGAATGTCACTTAATTTTAATCGAGATGCGATTTAATAGAAATCGTAAAAAGCAACAGGAAGGAACGAAACGTTGGAGGAGCGTTTCTTTCGTAAGTAACGATAGGCGGATAGGCGGAAGTCGTGACGGAAACGGGTCCAGTGTCACAATAGTTGCGACACTTGGGATATTGCGCGCGGAGTCTGGTTAATTTACAGTTATCCGATTAGCACGAATATCCGTAGAAATGTGACGTAACGCATTAGCTATCGATTACATGTTCGTTAACGAAACACCGGAAAACGGCCGTGCGAAACGGGTTTTCGACAGGTACGATCGCTCCATCGATCTCCGTGTCGATACACCGATCACGGGAAAAAACGTACCTGACTCTAACCTAGGATAATCGTCGAGGGTTTGCTTTCGATGATCTGAAACAATAATTCAATCTCTTAATAACTTAATAAAAAAAAAAAAAAAAAAAACAAGAAGAAGAAATAAAAATATCTACTCAAGAAACGACAAGAAAATTAATAGAAGAATTAAAACCACGTCACGCGAAAGAATTTAATTTTGATTCGCAATCTCTTAGATCTCGTTTTTTCCTTAACCATTTACTACATTTATAATTCTCATTTACTACATTTACGCGTCACCTCTTACCTCTCGCGTCATCCTCGAAATCCGGCAAGTGGTTGGACTGTTGAAAGAACGAGGAGGGTGCACTGCCGCCCACCGGGGGTGGAAAGTCATTGTCGCGGAAGATCAAGCGTGGCGTGCGATGGCCCATCACAGGCCTGTTGTACTCCGAGATGGGACTCCTCCAGGCCGATTTGTGCTGCCTCCACGATGGGAAACGTACCCCAGGGTGTAAACCTATGTTCCTCCCTATCGGGGGACCGCCACCCTCGAACAGATAACCGGCGGGACCGGTTGGAAATCGGACGTATCGGCGTCTACGGGGCGAATTCAGGGTTAACTCGGTGCGATTCCCATCGTTGCTACGTGCCTCCACGTAACCGGGATTGAAGATCGTCTTCGATTTGCTCGATCCCGATATCGATCCGGCACGACCGGTGGCACGATTCGACGAGATGACGAGGAGTATTCCTATTAGTATCCATTGGCACGATCTGGCTGCATCCATCATTCGGCTGGAAATGCAAATTCCACGGGGGATAAGGAGATTTTTAAAAGAGATTTCGAAGATCGATGGAAAATAATAAAATGTAAGAAAAGATTTCCATCGTCTTGAGGGGAAGAAGAATTGTCCACGTTGTTTCGATCGGTTTAAATTATATTATATCTCTTACTTCGGTCGGTTAACACCGTCACCTCTTTTGGAAACTCATTTTTTTCGTCACTGTTTGCCTCGTCCTCTCATTATCTCGCTCGCACATTGTACAACAAGCGTCCTTGTCGAATATCATTTGCGCTTAAAACGCGCAAAAAGTTTGAATTCAATTTATCCCCCGGATGGAACGGGTTCTCTTTCCAAACTTATCTCGCCACTTTATTTCGCCGATAGCCTCTTTCAATTAACTTGTGCAAATTGTTAAACATTTGATACGGTATCTTTCGGGTATAAGGTACCGAGGTGTAAAGTGGTCGAGATAAAACGTGACGAAAGAGCAAACAGTCCTCGACAAAGAGAGAGAGAGAAAGAGAGAGAAAAAATCAAAAAGTGTCATCGTGGTCGTGATCGGTTCCATTTTTTTTTTTTTTTATTTTTTATTAACGAGAATAATTTTAATGATCGAATTTCGTTCTTCTCCTTCTTCTTCTTTTATTCTTTTATTCTTTGGAATCCGCGAATTCCTTCTGAAATTTTCTCTCCGATCTTGGAGGCTCGCGTGTCTCCCCGACCAATCTATTCGGTCTCGATTCGGCCGATCGCTGGAATCAATTTTCTAAAGAATAAACCGGCATGATCGAGGTTAACGAGCCACGGAAAACACGCACCTCCTCCTGATCCTCTTCGACACGAATCCTTTTTTCCTTTTTTCACCACGAAGCCAATTCCAGTTGCATTACACGCGATCATTCGTGCCTCGTTCGATTGAAAAGGAACGTCGTTTATTCTCGAATATTCTTTTTTTTTTTTTTAACTTGGTCGAAAGGAATCGCCTCGCGATTCGATCTGCCCGAGAAAAGAAGAGATTCGAGGAGGATCGGGGAGCGGAATTGCTCGTCGGAGGATATGTTGTTTGCGTCACGTCGTCGCGGCCCGTGAACGGGTGAAAGTAAAAAGAGGGTCAGGCCGCTGAGGAAGGAAACGAAACGCGTCGATTAATAATCCAAGGAGACTCGTCCCCGTGGAGGGAGCGAGCAGCATCCTCCGGTTGGTCAGTTATCGAGAGTGGCGATCGAGGAGGAGCGAAAACGCGGGGGCGGGAATTTCATATTGGATTGGGCAACGGCCAACAGTATTGCTTTAATCACCGGTCGAGCCGCGTTCAGGACAATTTAACCACGTAACGGTTCTTGTCACTCCGTTTCGTAATGGGCGGTTTAAAAATCGGGAAGGCTGATAATCGGCTCCATTGTCATTGACGAATCAATGGAAGAGGAAGCAAAGGAAGGAAGGAAGGAAGGAATCGGGTGAAGACGAAGCAGGGGGAAGAAAAGATCGACGAGTCGTCGTCATCCCCTTTGAATATAATTTGGAATATAATTTGGAGGATGATTTCGCAATGATTAGACGAAAAATGGAAAGAAGAGAGTTTAGCGAAGTTTAAAAAAAACGATTGCGATTCTTTTCTTTCTTTCTTTTTTTTTTTTTTTGTAGAAGGGATAATTGAACGTCGAATCGAACAAGAATCGATGTAGAACGTCCTTGCCGGAAAAACATGATGGAGTGGCGGAGCGAACGGTTCGATGTGTTAGTAGGTCATTGGCTCTGCCGTGTAGCTCGAGTAGAAGTGAAAGTGCGCTTCTTGCACTCACGGCAGTGTGAAGTTCATGTTCACGCTGCCACCCGCTTCGCCGGAAGTTACGAGCCATCTTCTTCTTCTCCCATTCTTCCTTTCGGTAGCAACGATCTCGATCTTGCGTCCATTAGAACGACGTTCTAATCGACGAAACGTGACCGTTTATAGAGATTAAGCTCGTAACTGCGAAGAGGCGACATTTTTTTCTTTCTTTTTTTAAAGTTTTGTTAACGAACGATTCGCGGGGAAACGAGTTGGCACGCGAGACAGATAGAGAGAGAGAGAGAGAGAGAATGATAACAAGAAAAGTGAAACCCGGTAGAAAACGAAATAAACCAGTCTCTAACTGGATTTAAAACTAGTTTGATCCGCTAATGTATTTTAATTGTTGTTTTTCTCCTTTCCTTCTCTACCGGGGCTTCGTTCTCCGTTAAGGAAGAGAAAATTGCCGACCTTGCCATCTTGGTGCGTCGAGACAGGACGAAAGCTGTTTTTTTTCGTTCTCTCGAGCAGCAACCCTTCCATTATTCATCTTTGTCCGTTTCAACGTTTTATACGTTTATCGATTTGTTAACCCTTGTTTCAACGAACTTTACTTGGAAATCGAGTAATTTAGGAAAATGGAGGAGGAAGGAAAAACGAAGGAAGGACGAGGCGAAGCGGATAGATTTAGAGGAGAGGAGCGCGAACTTTCACCTTGCCACGACTAGGAGGTATCGCGCGCGCCGACGCTCGAAAGTACCTTGGAGAGTTTCTTCTCTCGCGTGCACGATGTTGTACGCACCGCACGCATAATTGTTGTAGTTTCGTTCCCCAGCTGTTCGAGAAAGCCTCCCTCCCCACGTCTCCTCTCTTTCCACTCTCGCGTTCTCTCGTTCTCCCTCGTCGTCGTCCGTTCGCGCGGCGAGGTGGTGGCCGGTGGCTGCCGATTGGCGCCACACACCGGTCCCCGCATCCCAAATTCCGTGTGAACCGACATTAAGAGCGCGATCCATTACTTTCTCTGCAACGCGCACAGGCGCCGTTTTACTTTCGCCGAAAGCAAACGGAGAGGAAAAAAAAAAAAAAAAAAAAGAAAGAAGAAGAAGAAAAAAAGGCAAAATAAGAGAAGCACGCGCGTGAAATTTTGTTTTCGTCCGATCCGTCCGGCCCCGTTTTCTTCCTCGCCTCGATCCATCCGTCCTTCCTTTCGGGAAAAACGATCATCGATGATCAATCTCGTCTCTCGTTGTTCATCTTGGCTCGATGAGCAGCCGATTTCCGCGAGGCGGCGGTTAGACGACGACGACGACGAACGACGACGACGACGAGTCGATTAATCGGAACTTAATCGGAAAGAAAGCGAACGAAAGAAAGAAGGAGAGGGGATCTCTGGAAATGGTAACGTCGAGCTCGCGATACTTTTTTTCCCCCCCTTGGTTTGATTTTTCGATCGAGAAACGGCGACCTTGATCGGTCCTTTAACGCGTGGAGCGGCCACGGTTGCGGCGACGTTCCGCGCCCCTTTCCTCGAAGGAAACCGGTTCGAAGAAATCCGAACGCGGGCAAACTTGTGCTCTTTCTTCGTGGCCTTGAAAAGAAGTACGCTCGTTCGCGGTCTAGTTGGCGAGATACCCCTTTTCACGCGACCACCGACACTTTCCATTGTGTAACGAATCCTTCTCCTCTTCCCTCCTCTTCCGTCACGCCCGCCCTCTCGATTCAAAAACTTCTTGGAGAAGCTCGCTCCCCGCCGAACCCTCTTCGAACCCTTTCCTCTCTCTCTCTGTCTTCCCCGCGACGAAACGAAACGATCGCAATGGCGGAACGATCGCGGAACGATCTGCATTGTTACTTTCTAGGAGAAATTAATTCCCTCGTAAACGGAGTAATCCCAGCCAAGGCCGAGAGTTGGAAACGAAGAAAAAGTGTGTCGAACAAACGCGAATGTGTCGATCGAATATTCATATACCGTTTTGCCGATCTGTAATTTATCTCTCCCGTTATTCGATGGATAGAAAATCTTTAATCCAAATCCTCTCGAAACGTATTTTAATCAAGGGAGAAAGAAGATGTCGTTTCGTTTTTTTCTCGTACGGAGAGGGGAAAAAGAAAAGAGAAGAAACGATATATATTAGACGGAAGGACACGTTTCGTGGGTTGTCGCGCGTTTCTCCTCAAACTTGTGTCGGGGAGCGGTGTTACGTAAACGGGGAGTGGTGTTTAGGCAATCGGTAGAACGGTACCGAACCGTGCATCCTTAATGCTCGTCCCCTTTGCTCGTCTCCTTTTGGAAAAGAACGGAAGTACTTTCACTCGCTACGAGATCGGAAAGTTGAATATTTCGATACCCATTGCCAATTCGTCGCCGAGAAATTTTCTCTCTTGTAATCTCTCCGTTGAAATGGACAACATCTAACACCTAATATTATTCGTTCCTTTCGTTCGAATTAATTATTAATAAGTAATATTACGAATTTACTTCGATGCCACGAAATTTCTTCGTTCGTTTTTTTTTTCTCTATAACGCATACGTTCAAAAGTAGAAACGAACGTACGATCGACTTACTTTCAATTATGGAAATTGGACGAATTTAACACGCGTGTGGACACGCGTGATTAAGCGAATAATCGAATCCCGTTAAATTACATCGAAGCATCGAAGTCCATTAATTTTCCATCCGTGGAAATTTAAATAGCGACGAGAGGCCACGATTCGTTCATTCAGTGTAATAGCCCGCCTTCGTTCGATCGAAATCACCAGTTTCGTTTACGTTGGCGCACGTTTTACTCGGTGAACAGGTGATACAGCTTTCTTTCAAAAGCTGATCCAGACCTTCTCACTTTCACTCAATTTTTCCGATGGCCATCGCGCGGCTATTGTATTACAATTTCCAACGCATCGACTCGAATGAACGATGTTAGCTTGTAATTTTCTACCCGCTCCTTATTATTCCCCCCCCATTCCTCGCCTCGACCTCGTATAACTCTGTACGAGCTTCGCTGTTCGTTATCGCTTTCCGTGCATTAAATTTAAAAAAAAATCTCGGGAAAGGATCTCTCGCGGAACGGGAGAAAAAAAGTCTCAAATTTCTAATCTTAAAAACGAGAGAATCTAATTAAAGAATATTCCCCAAATTGCCTGTCCGAGAAGATATCCCACCGAGATTTAAAAAAGAAAAAAAAAAAAATAAAATTTCTCCGACGAAGGTCCGTATATTTTCTCTCCCTTTTTTTCTCT